AACAAAATTTACAAGTTTGTTGATCACTGTCACATCTCCCTAACTAAAAAAATTTCTGATAAAACCTTATATTTCTACCAGTGCTTCCAGAAAACCGCTATTTTCACAGCCCAAAACCATTGAAAGTGCAACAAATCATACATAATCTGAAAGAGGACACTTTGGGCTTTCAGCATATGTGCTTATCTCAAAATTGATTTTTTTCAAAAAAAATCAATTTTCGGAGGGGGGGGTTCCCCTTAAGTTCTCTGCAACAAAAATCGTTCCCAGCATTCATACGGAACCCTTTTAAGTTCCGAAAATGACAAAAAGTGTCGGGTGTGGGCGTGGGTGGGCGTGGGTGTGGATGTGGATGTGGGTGGAATAAATATGAACATAAAAAAACTACTCGCACTCCCACACCCTCAATCAATTCAATGTTATATTATGATTTAAGGCATTTCGTAAAAAGAATTGTTATTGATATTCCGCAAACTTTAAAATACGAAATCAATCACCTTTTTAAAGCTAAAACATAAATGACGCATACGCAATACCACAATGTGTCATTTTCAAAATTCAATAGTAATTTCGTTTTTGAAGTAGTACAAAACGATACATACTATTTTCATCCATTAATTTGTCACAACATAATTTAAGAGAAAACTATATTATTAGAAATCGATTAAGCTAAATCTTTTTTTGAAAATTATCGATATTCAACATCATCTCAATGATAATTATTTGCTTAGAAAAGTAAGGAAAGAATGTGTCAATTCATAATTTCATACACATACGAAGTATTACACAGTTCTGCACATGATTCGAACAATATCAATCATATAACTCTGCTCACAATTCCAATGACTTGATTATATATTAGCTTTAAAATTAAATTTTAGTTTTTCTCGTCATGTTTTATTTCCTCAACTTCTTTCGGTCTATCAACCAAACAAAAAATGATATTAAAACGAAAAAAACAAAATCGTTATATGGTAAGCATTTAATAACTTGCAGTAAAAGCCAATTCTTTTCAATAACATGTAACAAAATGTTCATTATATAAAGAGATATGCTACTACAACTGCATTCACTATAATCAGCTGAAAAATGAACATTTTCCAATGCAAAAATATCTTTTAATATTTGACGTCAATTCTTTCAATATATCGACACTACATAATATTCAACATATTGCAAATATTAGTACTTTCTCTTAGACTCATCATTGTACAAAATTCATTTGCTATCACAATACAAGTACATCAGTGCTATCATTCCGTCAGTCAAGGGACCAGCGTATCGACTTTCGATGTTGATGAACGTTACTTGTTGTTATGTGAGGGGGAACGCTGTCAGGTAGAACCGATAGTCGTGAAAATGGGTGTCTGTGGTAAATCAGCTTCATATACATTCTCTAAACCCTTTTTAAGGGTTTATGGGAGGGTTTATTATGTTCCTAAGCCCTTTCTAAGGATCTATTAAAAAAGTTTATTGTTTTCCTAAACTCTTTCCTAAACCCTTTGAAAGGATATATGAAAGGGTTTATTACTTTCCTAAACCCTTTAAAAGGGCTTAGGACATTTTCATGTACGGTAAAAAGGGTTTATTATTCTACGTTTTTTTTATAGTGTATTCCACCGTTCAAAATGAGGAACCTTTGATCAGATTGGGAAAATCAGATTTTAGTAACGAAAAAACCGAATGATATTGTCCATAGTTCACATTAGTGTTATCTGCACCAATGGATGTCATTTTTTTAATATCGATATTGTTCATCTTCAATACCTCTCGAAGAGATGCAACGACGTGGTTGGCCGTTTCATGGGGTTGTTCAATAACTTCAATCACAGATTGTACAATTCCACGCTCCATTGTGAAATAATTGATTATAAACGGAAACATTTTCTTATGGCCTTTATTTGACGCATCAAATGACAATGAATAAAAATGATTTTGATTGATCACTTCAGTAATTTTTGTACTGAAATAAGGAGCTAAATTTAAAAACGCATTTTGAAAGAATCATAAGAGTTAAAGAAAACCATTTCTTAAATGTTTCTGAGTCTCTCTCAATGATTAGTAAATGTTCCAACATCAGAAATGAAGTTTTGATTACCTAGAACATTTACAGCTAATTCACGAGCTTTTGTTCGCCCACATGAAATATTTTTTGCAATAGTTGAGTCATGGAATAACTTCTTCAAAACATCAACTGTACATGATTGACTATTGTAACTATGTCCATGACGAATTCCATGATAAACTAATGTTAGATCAGCAGCGATCATCGAAGTTAATTGTGATAGTGGATGTATAAAATCAAACATCGAACGAGCTAAAGCAAAAAAATCAACTCAATCAGTATTTTTCGAAATGCAGTATAAAAAAATTACATTTGTTCTCAGCTTCATTTGCTGCTAAACGCTTATGGTTTGCTTGTTCAAGATGACGATCAATCAAATACTTTCCCCCATTAGCTATCGAGAAATTTGATTTACAAACACAACAATGTGCGAGTGATGAATCGCTTCGACACTCTTGCAAAAATGATGCATATTTCGAGATTTTTATCGATTCTTTATTAAACTTGCAATATCTTTTCAACTTCGAAGAAATTGTTTTCTTTTCCGTTGTATTAGAAGACAGCCGAGAGATTGAATTTGAATTTTTGGATGCTGATGCTGGTTCATATTCGATTTCAGTGGAACTTTCCTCCTCTTCAATGATTTCAACATCCAACTGAATGGAACTATGGATGGTCATCGCTTCGATTATCAGAATCTATAATTATAATCGTTGGTTTAACACAATTCAATAGAAAAGACGAATTGCTACAACTAAACAGATGTATTCCAGCTAAGACAAAATTGAATCACGATTATTAGATCGAAAATGAAAACAGAAAACCGAAAACAAGACTTATCCGGTAGCGACATCCTCCATTGGTTAATTAGCAGCCAACCAATATAATTGACGCTTCACATCTTTATCAATAGTAAATGTCGGATAAAGAGACAGAAATTTTCTGAATTTCAACCAAAATATGGATGATAGTAGTCGCAACATTGAAAAATGCAGATGGGGTACAAAATGCGTACCTCAGAGGTACAATTTTTTTTTTAAGGTACAAAAGGCTCAAATGGGGTACTGTACCGCCAAATGGGGTACGGCTGGCAACCCTGATGCGTTCACTTAATTTGAACATTCAATCTGTGAAAAAAAATGTGCATGAACTTTCCAAAATTTTTCTCCCATGATTTGCCGGATATTTTCCTCTCATGGCCATTTCGTTGCATTGAACAAATGTTTTCTCTCCATTTCCTTTATCAATTAAGTACACTTCGAACAATGTTCGTCCGTGACGATATTTTTTTCTTTTCTCTCTTTCAAAAGTATAAAAAGGTTAAGAATATGTCAAGAATAGAGGATGGGTCAAAAGTTACTATACCGAAGAAAAAAACGAATATCTCCATTACGGCTCGAGCCAACGAGTTCATCTTTTTATCAATGAGAGAGGCATGTTCAAGGTTTATATTCATAAAGACATGCCTAGAGAGACCTTTTGTTAAGTGTCACAATTGACATCAACAAAAAAATTTTACTTTTTCAGAGATAGGAAAAACAATAAAGGGTGGCCCAGAAGTCCTGACTCGATTTGAATATGAAATTTTTCTTTAGCAAAACAAGTGGTTGAAAAATTGTCTCTATAAAGAAAAGATGCAGTAAAACACGCTCTACAAAATGGCTTTTGATTGACCCTGATAGCTTATATAGTAAGAAAGTTATAG